GATTTTACTTGCTAGCACTTTAAGGTGTTCCAGGCTTATTGTGTTGTTTCTCTGCACATGCCAGGTATTGGCTATTTTTCAAGGAATCATAGTTTCTTGTTTTTGTGCGTGGTTTTAGAAAAAAAGATTTGGTCTATGTGTGTTCCCATTTCTACTAGGGATCTGTTGATTCTAGGCTGTCAGCTAACAAGGCAATGGAATATATGTGTGTATACTAACTCTCACATACACATATATACACACACACAACGTATGTGTATCTACACACTCACACATATTTCTACATTTGATCTACATATGTATATAAAGTCAAACATGAATTCCTACTGATGTCCTCAGTACCACATGATCTAATCCAGTACCCCATGAATCAATTTTTTCATTTCTACTACTTGTAGGTAATCTCCCACTTTGACAGTAAAACAGTTCACCTCCTTTGTGTAATTATTGAATTCCAAAATACTTGCAGAGTGGTTTCCAAATTGGTAGTGGAAAATGTCTGCACCAACTAAGTAAGATGCTCATGTGCAAATCACAAATGTTTTAGACTGCAAATCTCCCCTTATTTCCTAAGTTACTTTGGTCAGTCTCTTTTTCACCCACTCCCTTCATGAGTTTTTTTCATACATGTGTTACACACTTATATTATATTGTTTACGTTGCTCCCTGGGATTCCCCAATCTACTAAGTAATGTTTTTAATTTGCATACATCTATGTTCACACTTTGTGATGTAAAATTCTTCAGGATTTGAAAAGTAGTATCATTCACCCACCATTCCAGTACCATAGAAAATAATTTCACTGTAAAGAATATTTTTTACCATTCAGCCTTTTTTTCTTTAGTCCCTGGTACCTACTAATCTTTTTACTGTCTCTATAATTACACCTTGTCACAATGTCATTTAAATTTAATTACCCATAGAATTCACTCTCCTCAAACTGGCTTCTTTTGCTTAAAAATATGCCTTTAAGGCCAGGTGCGGTGGCTCACGCCTGTAATCCTAACACTTTGGGAGGCTGAGGCGGGCAAATCATGAGTTCAGGAGATTGAGACCATCCTGGCTAACACAGTGAAACCCTATCTCCACTGAAAATAAAATAAAAGTTAGCCAGGTGTGGTGGCAGGTGCCTGTAGTTTCAGCTACTCGGGAGGCTGAGGCAGGAGAATGGCGTGAACCTGGGAGGCGGAGCTTGCAGTGAGCCGAGATTGTGTCACGGCATTCCAGTCTGAGCGACAGAGCGAGACTCCATCTCAGAATAATAATAATAATAACAATAATAATAATAATATGTTTTTAAGTTTGTGAAGTGTCTCTTGGTTCAGATTTGCATTTTAGTTGAAAGGTCAGGTGTTGAGCAACTTTTCATGTGCCTTTTGGACATCTGTATAGTATCTTTGAAGGAAAAAGTATATTCACAATATTTACACACTTTTATTTATGTATTTTAATTTTTGTAGAAATGGGGTCTTGCTCTTTCACCCAGGCTGTAGTGCACTGGGGTGATCACTGTAGCTCACTGTAGCCTCAAACTCCTGCACTCAAGCGATTCTCATACCTCACTATCTCAAGTAGCTGAGACTACATGTGCATGCTACCATACCCCACTAATAAAAAAAAATGTGGGGACAGGGTCTCGCTATGTTGCATAGACTGGGCTCAAATTCCTGGCCTCAACTGATTCTTCCACCTCGGCCTCCTAAAGCACTGGGATTACAGATGTCAGCCACCACACACAGCCTCACCCACTTTTAATTAGGATATGTCACTTAATTTTTCAGTTGTGAGATGTTTTATGTATTTTGAATACTGCTATCAGTTTTATGATTTGCAAACATTTCTCCCCTTAGGTTGTTTTGAAGGTGGACTTTGAATTATGAAGTGATTCAATTTTTTTGTTTGTTTTTTGGGACAGGGTTTCTCACTGTGTCACGCAGGCTGGGGTACAGTGGCATGATCTTGACTCACTGCAACCTCCGCCTCTGAGGTTCAAGAGATTCTTGTGCCTCAGCTTCCCAAGTAGCTGGGATTACAGGTGTGTGCCACCATGCCCAGCTAATTTTTGTATTTTTAGTGGAGATGGGGTTTCATTATGTTGGCCAGGCTGGTGTCAAACTCCTGACCTCATTTGATCCACTCACCTCAGTTTCCCAAAGTGTTGGGATTGCGGGTGTGAGGCCATAGCACCCAGCCTAAAATGATCCAGTTTCTTGGTTTAAAGGAGGAAGACCACACAGGGAAAATGCCATCACATCATGTCAAGGGTAAATATTACTAACCTGCTTTATAACTGTTGGTATTAATTTTACCACCTGGGTGAGATCATTCTTATCAGATTTCTCCACTGCAAAATTACTCTTTTTCCCCCTTTCCATATTATGTGTTTCAAAAAAAAATGTGAGTATATACAACATACACTGAGGAAGTGGGGCAATCACACCTCCCTCCTGATGAGGCAGATTTTTTTTTTAAACTTATTTGGACATTTGTCTATATTTTTTGTATCTTTAGCCAGTCATTTATTTAAATCAGTATATCAACATAGATACCTAATTTCCACTCATTACTTATTCCACTTATTACTACTTTATTGATTTTCTTGCTAAATTGGTTCCAGTGTTGCCCACTGATACCTCAATAATTATGGTTTGATGTTGTTATGTGTTTGGTTGGTTGGTTATGTTGTTGTTTGTCATTGTTTTTAGCTCTGGCACTACTAGGCACTATAGGCTAAATGTGTTTTTTCTCTTCCCAAGCCTAGTATTCACCATTTCACATTTATTGGAAAATAGAATAGAAAAGAAGATCTGAGCACTGACTGGGTCTACTAATTATTCTTGGGGTTTCTGTTAAATCACGGCTTTCTTGGCTGACAGAGCAAATATACATGTGTATATTTGTGAGCAAGTATACACTGATATGTGTGTAAAATTCTATTATAAACTTTTTCAGTATATGGAGAACATTCTTACGTATCCACCATTACAGTATCAGAGAAAGTAATTTCACTGCCCAAAAGAAATCTCCTGTACTTCACTGATTCAACCTTTGTCTCTGTCCCAAGCCCCTTGTTACCACCGAATTCTTTACTATCACTATGCTTTTTCTAGAATCATACAAAGGGAATTACACAGTGTTTTGTCTTTTCCAACTTACATGTTCTTACTTAGCAATATGACATTTAGATTTTTGAAGTATATTTCATGATTGTTTAGATTTTCCTTCCACTAATAATTGCAGGATAGGTGCGCCCCCAAATTAGAGCTTAGACTGGGAGGGTTCTTAGTTTGCCCACAGAATAATTTAAGGTTGAGCTGCTGGTATTAGACAGCAATTTTTTATTGAGTATTGCTTCTTCCAGAGCAGGAGTAACACATAGGCATTGCATCCAGAGTTGGCAACCTGTGGCCTTTTGTCAACTGTATTTATTCTAAGGTAAATCCACTTTCAATTACATGCAAATTGAGGAGTTGGTCAATGCAAATTAGGGGGCAGGTTATTTAGGACTTTCTAAGAAAGGGGCAATAACTTCTGGGTTGTTGCCATTGAAACTGCGGGTGGTTGCAAAGGAATTTGTAGACAGTCGTGGTGCTGTTGGGAGTGTCTTATGGCAGTGAGCTATGAGCATAGCCAGGATCACTTTTGTCTCCATCTGCTGGTTTCTGGTGGTTTCTTTACTTTATCCTGTGTGGAACAGATCTTGTTTTGTTCAATAGGGGTTGTTAACAGAAAACAAGTCCTGCCATTCTCTCACCTCCTAATGTCAAAAGGCATTGAGTGCCTTTTCATGTGATTTTGGATATGATAATAGCCTTTTGGAGAGTTGGCTACTTGAATAATTTTCCAATTTTGATTGGGATATTTGCCGTTTTATCTTTGAAGTGTAAGATATTGCCATATATTCTGGATAATAGACCATTATCACCTATAAAATTAGCAAACATTTTCTCCCATTCTTTGGGTTTCTCTGTATTTTATGGTGTACTTTTAACTTCAAAAATTTTCAATTATAATGAAGTTAAATATGTGTTTATTTTTTCCATCTTTTGCTTGTGCTTTCAGTGTCATATCTTAGGAAACATTGTTTAACATAGGACCACAAAGATGTATTCATATGTTCTTTTCTACAGTTTGTACCTATTTGGTTCTTATACTTGATGTATGATCATTTTGAATCAAGTTTTTGGTGTAAGGCAGGAGTCTGAGTACATGTTGCTACCCACTTCTTCCAGAAATACTTGATGAAAACAATTTCTCCATACCTAATTTATATGACTGCAGTATACAATTATTTCATATAAATGTGAGAGTTTATTTTTGAGCATTATATTCCATTCCATTGAACAATATGAATATATCCTTATACTACTACCACAAAATTTGATTACTCTTACTTTGTAGTAAGTTTTGAAATCAGGAAGTATGTGTCTACTATGCCAACCTTTTATTACTTTTTCAAGTTTATGTAGGCTGCTCTGGCTGTACTGTATTGTATATGAACTTTAGAAAATGTTGTCAATTTAGGGGAAATTTAAGGGACAGAAACTCATAAGAAAGCTTGTGATTTTAGGGGACATTTCCTACCCCTAAATTTTGGGATTTTGATAGAGGTTGCATTAAATCTATAGATCCTTTTGGAAAATACTGCCAACGTAACAATATTAATCTTCCTAATAAATGAACATTGAAAGATTTTACATTTATTTAATTTTGATCAATATGTTTTTTATAATTTTTGTGTACATCTTATACCTAATTTGATAAACCTATTCCTAAGTATTTTTGATGTCATCTCAAATGGTTTTCTGAGTTTTGTTTTTAGATTATTAACTTCTTACTGTGTAGAATTTCAAAGGATTTTATAGAGCTTCTGTATTGCAAATTTGTTGAACTCATTTCTGAATTCTAAACATATTTGTTTTATACATAAGTTAATGTCGTTTGCAAACAGAGTTTGATTTCCTTTTCATACTGGTTGTTTTATATTTGTATTTTTCTAGACTAATTGCCCTGAGCACAGCCTCCAGTACGATGTTCAAAGCAAGTGTCAAGAGTGGAAATTCTTGTCTTGTTTCTAATCTTGGAAAAATTAGTAAACATTTCAGGTAACTTATGATGATATGTGAATTTTTCATGGATGCCCTTTAAAGTGAAGACAATTCCCTTATCTGCCTTGTTTGTTGAACATTTTTTATCATAGTGAGTTTGGGAATTTTCAAGAACTTGTGCATCCTTTGAGATGATTATGTAGTTTTTATGATTTATTGTATTAATATAGTGCATGGCATTAATTGTACTTGAATGTTGAACCAAATTTTGCTTTCCCAAGGTAAATACCCTTGACAGAGTGTATAATACTTTCTATGGGCTGCTGACTTGTTTTGCTAAGATTTCCTTGATGATTTTTGCCTTTACCTGATTCTTAAGGTGTATTGTTCTTAATTTTCATTATTTGAAATGTGTTTGTCTAGTTGTGGTATCAGGGTAAACTAACTCATAGTGTGCAATGAGAAATGATGTCCTCTTCAGTTTTTGTTGTTGTTTTTGAAGAATTGGTGATAAATCAGTATTAATTGTTTAGGAGATTCCAACGACACACTAGTCAGTTCTTCTTGATTGGGGCAGGGAAGTGCATCCGAAGAGCAATCACGTGATCTTGGAAGGAGACCCTTCTCCAGCTGAGCCTCGGTGTGGGTCACCATCTGCATCTGGACTGAAGACTCAGAGAAACTGTGAGTAATAGGTATGTGACTTTGAGCCACTAAGGTATGTAGTAATTTGTTAGGCACCAAGTACTAATAAGAAAAATTTGGGAGGCCGAGGCGGGTGGATCACGAGGTCAGGAGATCGAGACCATCCTGGCTAACACGGTGAAACCCCATCTCTACTAAAAATACAAAAAATTAGCCGGGCGAGGTGGCGACGCCTGTAGTCCCAGATACTCGGAGGCTGAGGCAGGAGAATGGCATGAACCCGGGAGGCGGAGCTTGCAGTGAGCCGAGATTGCGCCACTGCACTCCAGCCTGGGCGACAGAGCGAGACTCCGTCTCAAAAAAAAAATACCTGACAGTAATTGTCACGTGGTATTCTGGAATAGATAAATATATCATTATTAGAAAAGGTAAACGTGTGCCATGGTAGTTTGCTGCACAGCTAATTCCATCACCTAGGTATTAAGTCCAGAATCCATTAGCTATTCTTCCTAATGCTCTCCTTCTAAAGACTTTTCTTTACTCTTAAAGTATATTCTTGAAATACATTTTGAAGCTCTACTACCTTCATTGTATACTTCTTTGTCTTATGCACATTTATCTAATTGTATGTTTGTTAAATTCACACTATGCAAACTAACTATATGCTTTTCAAGAAATTCCAGAGGCTAATTTTATTTTTTTCTTTGTTTTGGTTTTTTATTAGATCTTTGACACTAATTTTTTTATTTTCTTATTTTTTATTATACTTTAAGTTCTAGGGTACATGTGCACAACGTGCAGGTTTGTTACATATGTATACATGTGCCATGTTGGTGTGCTGCACCCGTTAACTCATCATTTACATTAGGTATATCTCCTAATGCTATCCCTCCCTGCTCCCCCCACCCCACAACAGGCCCCGGTGTGTGATGTTCCCCTTCCTGTATCCACGTGTTCTCATTGTTCAATTCCCACCTATGAGTGAGAACACGCAGTGTTTGGTTTCCTGTTCCTGCGATACTTTTCTGAGAATGATGGTTTCCAGCTGCATGCAGGTCCCTACAAAGGACATGAACTCATCCTTTTTTTGGCTGCATAGTATTCCATAGTGTATATGTGCCATATTTTCTTAATCCAGTCTGTCACTGATGGGCATTTGGGTTAGTTCCAAGTCTTTGCTATTGTGAATAGTGCCGCAATAAACATACATGTGAATGTGTCTTTATAGCAGCAGCATTTATAATCCTTTGGGTATATACCCAGTAAGGGGATGGCTAGGTCAAATGGTATTTCTGGTTCTAGATCCTTGAGGAATCACCACACTGTCTTCCACAATGGTTGAACTAGTTTAGAGTCCCACCAACAGTGTAAAAGTGTTCCTATTTCTCCACATTCTCTCCATCACCTGTTGTTTCCTGATTTTTTAATGATCGCCATTCTGACTGGTGTGAGATGGTATCTCATTGTGGTTTTGATTTGCATTTCTCTGATGGTCAGTGATGATGAGCATTTTTTCATGTGTCTGTTGGCTGCATAAATGTCTTCTTTTGAGAAGTGTCTGTTCATATCCTTCACCCACTTTTTGATGGGGTTGTTTGGTTTTTCTTGTAAATTTGTTTGAGTTCTTTGTAGATTCTGGATATTAGCCCTTTGTCAGATGAGTAGATTGCAAAAATTTTCTCTCATTCTGTAGGTTGCCTGTTCACTCTGATGGTAGTTTCTTTTGCTGTGCAAAAGAAACTTTAGTTTAATTAGATCCCATTTGTCAATTTTGGCTTTTGTTGCCATTGCTTTTGGTGTTTTAGACATGAAGTCCTTGCCCATGCCTATGTCCTGAATGGTATTGCCTAGGTTTTCTTCTAGGGTTTTTGTGGTTTTAGGTCTAACATTTAAGTCTCTAATCCATCTTGAATTAATTTTCATATTAAGGTGTAAGGAATGGATCCTGTTTCAGCTTTCTATATATGGCTAGCCAGTTTTCCCAACACCATTTAGTAAATAGGGAATCCTTTCCCCATTTCTTGTTTTTGTCAGGTTTGCCCAAGATCGGATGGTTGTAGATGTGTGGTATTATTTCTGAGGCCTCTGTTCTGCTCCATTGGTCTATATCTCTGTTTTGGTACCAGTACCATGCTGTTTGGGTTACTGTAGCCTTGTAGTATAGTTTGAAGTCAGGTAGCGTGATGCCTCCAGCTTTATTCTTTTGGCTTCGGATTGTGTTGGCAATGCGGGCTCTTTTTTGGTTCCATATGAACTTTAAAGTAGTTTTTCCCAATTCTATGAAGAAAGTCTTTGGTAGCTTAATGGGGATGGCATTGAATCTATAAATTACCATGGACAGTACGGCCATTTTCACGATATTGATTCTTCCTATCCATGAGAATGGAGTTTTCTTCCATTTGTTTGTGTCCTCTTTTATTTCATGGAGCAGTGGTTTGTAGTTCTCATTGAAGAGGTCCTTCACATCCCTTGTAAGTTGGATTCCTAGGTATTTTATTTTCTTTGAAGCAATTGTGAATGGGAGTTCAGTCATGATTTGGCTCTCTGTTTGTCTGTTATTGGTGTATAAGAATGCTTGTGATTTTTGCACGTTGATTTTGTATCCTGAGACTTTGCTGAAGTTGCTTATCAGCTTAAGGAGATTTTGGGCTGAGACGATGGGATTTTCTAAATATACAATCATATCATCTGCAAACAGGGACAATTTGACTTCCTCCTTTCCTAATTGAATACCCTTGATTTCTTTCTCCTGCCTGATTGCCCTGGCCAGAACTTCCAACACTATGTTGAATAGGAGTGGTGAGAGAGGGCATCCCAGTCTTATGCCAGTTTTCAAAGGGAATGCTTCCAGTTTTTGCCCATTCAGTATGACATTGGCTGTGGGTTTGTCATAAATAGCTCTTATTATTTTGAAATACATTCCATCAATACCGAATTTATTGAGAGTTTTTAGCATGAAGGGCTGTTGAATTTTGTCAAAGGCCTTTTCTGCATCTATTGAGATAATCATGTGGTTTTTGTTTTTGGTTCTGTTTATATGCTGGATTACGTTTATAGATTTGTGTATGTTGAAGCAGCCTTGCATCCCAGGGATGAAACTCACTTGATCATGTTGGATAAGCTTGTTGATATGCTACTGGATTCAGTTTGCCAGTATTTTATTGAGGATTTTTGCATCGATGTTCATCAGGGATATTGGTCGAAAATTCTCTTTTTTTTGTTGTGTCTCTGCTAGGCTTTGGTATCAGGATGATGTTGGCCTCATGAAATGAGTTATGGAGGATTCCCTCTTTTTCTGTTAGTTTGAATAGTTTCAGAAGGAATGGTACCAGCTCCTCCTACCTCTGGTAGAATTCGGCTGTGAATCTGCCTGGTCCTGGACTTGTTTTGATTGGTAGGCTATTAATTATTGCCTCAATTTCAGAGTCTGTTATTGGTCTATTCAGGGATTCAACTTCTTCCTGGTTTAGTGTTGGGAGAGTGTATGTATCCAAGAATTTATCCATTTCTTCTAGGTTTTCTAATTTATTTGCATAGAATTGTTTATAGTATTCTCTGATGGTATTTTGTACTTCTGTGGGGTCGGTGGTGTTATCCCCTTTAACATTTTTCATTGCATCTATTTGATTCTTTTTTCTTCTTTATTAGTCTTACTCATGGTCTGTCAATTTTGTTGATCTTTTCAAAAAACCAGCTCCTGGATTCATTGATTTTTTTGAAGGGTTTTTTGTGTCTCTATCTCCTTCAGTTCTGCTCTGATCTTAGTTATTTCTTTCCTTATGCTAGTTTTTGAATGCGTTTGCTCTTGCTTCTCTAGTTCTTTTAATTGTGATGTTAGGGTGTTGATTTTAGATCTTTCCAGCTTTCTCTTGCGGGCATTTAGTGCTATAAATTTCCCTCTACACACTGCTTTAAATGTGTCCCAGAGATTCTGGTATGTTGTATCTTTGTTCTCATCGGTTTCAAAGAACATCTTTATTTCTGCCTTCATTTCATTGTGTACCCAGTAGTCATTCAGGAGCAGGTTGTTCAGTTTCCATGTAGTTGAGCAGTTCTGATTGAGTTTCTTAGTCCTGAGTTCTGGTTTCATTGCACTGTGGTCTGAGAGACAGTTTGTTATGATTTCTGTTCTTTTACATTTGCTGAGGAGTGCTTTACTTCCAACAGTGTGGTCTATTTTGGAATAAGTGTGATTTGGTGCTGAGAAGAATACGTATTCTGTTGACTTGGGCTGGAGAATTCTGTAGATGTCGATTAGGTTCGCTTGATGCAGAACTGAGTTCAATTCGTGGATATCCTTGTTAACTTTCTGTCTCGTGGATCTGATGTTGACAGTGGGGTGTTAAAGTCTCCCATTATTATTGTATGGGAGTCTAAGTCTCTTTGTAAGTCTCAGGACTTGCTTTATGAATCTGGGTGCTCCTGTATTGGGTGCATATATATTTAGAATAGTTAGCTCTTCTTGTTGAATTGATCCCTTTACAGTTATGTAATGGCCTTCTTTGTCTCTTCTGATCTTTGTTGGTTTAAAGTATTTTATCAGAGACTAGGATTGCAACCCCTGCCTTTTTTGTTTTCCATTTGCTTGGTAGATCTTCCTCCATCCCTTTATTTTGAACCTATATGTGTCTCTGCACATGAGATGGGTCTCCTGAATATAGCAAACTGATAGGTCTTGACTTTTATCCAATTTGCCAGTCTGTGTCTTTTAATGGAAGCATTTAGCCCATTTACATTTAAGGTTAATATTGTTATATGTGAATTTGATCCTGTCATTATGATGTTAGCTGGTTATTTTGCTCGTTAGTTGATGCAGTTTATTCCTAGCATTGCTGGTCTTTACATTTTGGCATGTTTTTGCAGTGACTGGTACCAGTTGTTCCTTTCCATGTTTAGTGCTTCCTTCAGGAGCTCTTGTAGGGCAGGCCTGGCAGTGACAAAATCTCTCAATATTTGCTTGTCTGTAAAGAATTTTATTTCTCCTTCACTTATGAAACTTAGTTTGGCTGGATATGAAATTCTAGGTTGAAAATTCTTTTCTTTAAGAATTTGAATATTGGCCCCCACTCTCTTCTGGCTTGTAGAGTTTCTGCCGAGAGAGCCGCTGTTAGTCTGATGGATTTCCCTTTGTGGGTAACCCGAACTTTCTCTCTGGCTGCCCTTAACGTTTTTTCCTTCATTTCAACTTTGGTGAATCTGACAATTATGTGTCTTGGAGTTGCTCTTCTTGAGGAGTA